AGAAAGGAAAGACAAAAGGAAAGAAGGAAAGAAAGAAGCAGAGGGAAGGAGAGAGAGAGAAAGGTAAAGAAAAATAAAAGAAGAGGAGGATTCATCAAGAATCAGTAGTTTGGAAAGGATTCAATATTAAATAGGGGTTGACTTCACCAGGAAAATGAGATTTCATTGAAAACTAAAAAAAAAAAAAAAAAAAAGACGGGCCAAATTGATTTACTTATGTAGAAATTTCTTAAAAAAAAAGATTTAGGGACATGTGCACCCGAATGTTTATAGGAGCAATGTCCACAATAGCCAAACTATGGAAAGCACCTAGATGCCCATCAACAGATGAATGGATAAAGAAGATGTGATCAATACACACACACACACACACATACGAATACTATGCAGCCATCAAAAGAAATGAAATCTTTCCATTTGCAATGGTGTGGATGGAACTAGAAGGTATTTTGCTGTGTGAAATAAGTCAATCAGAGAAAGACAATTATCATATAATCTCTCTGATATGAGGAATTTGAGTGGCAGGGCAGGGGTTTTGGGGGTAGGGAAGGAAAAAAATGAAACAAGATGGGATTGGGAGGGAGACAAACCATAAGAGACTCTTAATCTCACAAACAAACTGAGGGTTGCAGGGGGTGGGGGAATAGGAATAGGGTGGTTGGGTTATGGACATTGGTGAGGGTATGTGGTATGGTGAGTGCTGTGAAATGTGTAAACCTCATGATTCACAAACCTTGTACCCCTGGGGCAAATACTACATTTTATGTTAATAAAAATAATTTTTATAAAAATTTTATTTGGGGCACCTGGGTGGCTCAGTGAGTTAAAGCCTCTGCCTTCAGCTCAGACCATGATCCCAGCGTCCTGGGATCGAGCCCCGCATTGGGTTCTATGCTCAGCAGGGAGCCTGCTTCCTCCTCTCTCTGCCTGCCTCTCTGCCTACTTGTGATGTCTGTCAAATAAATAAGTAAATCTTAAAAAAAAGTATTTATTTATTTGAAAGAGAGAAAGAGCACAAGTGCAAGTGTCTATGCACCTGGGAAAGGGCAGAAGGAAAGGTAGAGAATCTCAAGGAGACTCCCTGATAAGTGGTAGTCTGAGGTGGGGCTTGATCCCAGGACCCCGAGTTCATGACCTGAGCCAAGATCAAGAGTCAGAAGCTTAACCAAGGGAAACACCCAGGTGCCTCCTATGTAGAAATTTCTATTAAAATGTTTACAAAATAATTTATTTTAAAATTTAATGTTACCCAAATTGCAAATACAACATATACCCTCAAGGGACTCCAGGGTGCCTCAGTCCATTAAGCATCTGACTCTTGGTTTTGAAATTATTGAATTTTATCAATCGTGGGATCAAGCCCTGAGTTGCGCTCTGTGCTCAGCTTGGAGTCTGCTTCAGATTCTCTCTCCCTCTCCCTCCTCTGTGTGTGTCTCTCTCTCGAATAAATACATAAAATCTTAAAAAAAAAAATGCACTGACAAATTGAGACTTAAAATTTGTCTTTTTCAAAATCTTCTAAAAGATCGTAAGAAGTATCATATAACTTTATTTTTGCAAAATAAAAACAAGACAAAGAGTGAGTCCAAGTGTTGTTTCTGTTTAACTGTATTTGATGTTTGTACTGATTGCACTACGTAAGTAGGAATATAATCATTTTCAACAGAAGAATATAGTTCATATTTAAACACCATCCACTATTTTATGGATATCATAATCATGTTCAATTAAAAAGGATCCTAGTAAAAATATGGAATCATGAAGTAATCAATAGCAGAATTTAAGGAACATTTAAGTCTAGTAATAGTAACAATAATTCTCTTATTTGGATTTTGGTATGCTCTATTTCTTGGCATTTTAATATTTGTCTATTTACATTTTTAGTGTTCTACCTCTTTAACTCTCTGCATTTTTTAATATTCATTTTTATTTATTTTAAATAGAGAGCGAGAGCATAGTGGGGAAGGGCAGAGGTGGAGGGAAAGTCTTAAGCAGACACTGCACTGAGATCTCATGACTCTGAGATCAAGACTTAAGCTGAAGCCAAGAATTGGACATTTAACCAACTGTGCCACTTAGACATCCCTGCATATTTTTTTTCTTTGGTATGTGCATTAAGCAGTCAACAAATAACTTTCTTTGAATTGGCAATATACGATTTATTTAGTTGGAGAGGATACTTACTTCTCTGTATATTAAATGCCAAACATTACACCAGTCATCAGGATAAAAACATAAAAAGACAATGGACTTCAAAAAAACTACACTAACTTCAAAAAAACTACGCTAATAGTTTAGTAGGAAGAGTAAACATAAAAAAAAATGAAGTATTATGATAAGTGAAATAATAATATGTAACAGTTGCTGACCACTATTAACAGAGGCCATGTTAAGCACTTTATACAGATATCTCTATTTATCTTCAACCTCATTAGATAGGTACTAATACTAAATCCATCTTAAAACTAGTAAAGTGAAATACAGAGATATTCAATAACTGCCCATATCACAAGAATAGAGTTTGGATTTGAGACTAGACCTTTAGACCACATAGAATCTGCATTAACTTTCTCCCTGTGCAGATGAAACAGTGATAAACTGACTCATCCTGGAGCCATATCTGGAGTTTTCAGAGAGAAAGTGACATCTGAACTGGATCTTACAAATGTGTATTTGCTAGGCAAAAAAGATAGGGAGGGTTTTTAGCATGGAGGAAAGTATTATAAGACGGCAATGAGAATCAAAATTGGAAATGATCCATGAAATCAGGAATCACAAGTGGTGATTGTGTGTGGCTGGATGGGAGAAGCACAATGAGAAATGACAGTAAAGATCGAGATGGTTTAGTTGATGAAGGACTTTTATCCCTTGCTCAGGGTTTACTCTGTTAGTACAGGGATGACAAGTTCTGCTAACAGCACTGATTTATAGGCGGTGGCTTGTATTTTCAAGTCATCGCTTTTAGAGCAGCTGGAGGATTAATTGGGATCTGAGAAAATTTTTAGAAGGCTATGCAGTCATTTAAAGATTACTTTTCAAACAAAGTTTGAGTAGAGAGAAGAGACCATAATGAGGAACATTATTTAGCAATTTTATTCGATAATTTTATTAGCTATGAGAAGCAAAGGTGAGGGGAAAGGAGAAATAGAAAACACATCCCCAATTTTTAGCTAAGCTACTAAATGTATGGTGCTAGCACTAATCAAGGGAAGGGATGAAAGAAGAGAGATATGCCTGACTGGTAGATGGGAAAGGGAGTAATGTTCTATATTATACATCTTGGGATATCTAAGTCGGGTCTTCCGTAGGCAGCTGGTAATATATGCTGCTGCTCAACAGAAAATTCAGTTTTGGATCTGATGTCATCTACCTATAGGTAGTATGCAAATAAGGGATGGATGATTTCATCTAGGCATGAGCGCATGACTTAAAGAAAATTGACAAGCCCAACTCTGGGGAATGCTATTGTTTGAAAGACAGATCTTGCTATAGTAGCAGTGAAGGAAGCTTTGAAGAACTTGTCAAAAAGATGGAAGATCTCCTACTATTAATGTATTCATATCAATATGACTCTTTATCTTGATTAACAGTTTTCTTACGTAATTGGCTGCTCCCATATTGGGGGCATAGATATTTACAATTGTTAGATCATCTTGGTGGATAGTCCCTTTAAGAATTATGTAGTGTCCTTCTGTATCTCTGACTACAGTCTTTAGTTTAAAATCTAATATGTCTGATATGAGAATCGCTACCCCGTCCTTCTTTTGAGGCCCATTGGCATGAAAGATGAAGGGAGTTGAGGGAAATTGGAAGGGGAGATGAACCATGAGAGACTATGGACTCTGAAAAACAATCTGAGGGTTTTGAAGGGGTGGGGGGTGGGAGGTTGGGGGATCCAGGTGGTGGGTATTGTAGAGGACACGGATTGCATGGAGCACTGGGTGTGGTGCAAAAATAATGAATACTGTTACGCTAAAAAAATAACAAATTAAAAAATAAATAAATAAAAACAGTAAAAAAAAAAAAAGATGGAAGGAAACCAGAGTGAAGTGGAAATACAGAAGCCAAGATGCGATGTGCTATACATATTCTGTAACACTCATTCATTTCTGTAAATACTTTAAATATATTTCTTTGGAATAAGAGAAATAAGTGTCCCTCAAAGTTGTAATTTTGATGCCCAGCCTGTACCACCGATTTTTACTAAAGCATACCCTAATATAGTGGTGTCAGCTTGGATCAAAGGACATTATAAGAAAAGACCAAAGGAAATTTGTGTCTCGTCTACTATGAATGTGTCTCTCTCCCACATCTTCCTCCTTCTCCCCCTCCCTTCCTCCCTCTCTCCCTCCCTCCCTCCCTCCCTTTCTTCTTTCCTTCTTTTGAGGATATGGCTCTGTTTCTTACACAGGAAACTTGGTAGAAATTTCACTTAAATATCAAGAAAAGAAACAGTGATGCTACTCCTGACCAGGTTACTATATATGTATCTGTTTCTCTAGCTATATTTATCTATCTACTTGATATGAATTATGTAAGATGCAATGTCAATCATGTAAACGTTTGTTTCCATTTTTGCATTGACTCTAAAAGGCTTAGATTATTTCTGGGGATATCTCGGTCATAAAACCTTACTGTGCACATTGGGGATTGACTTCACTGCTGACTCCATCTATTTCAAGCTGCCAAAATGGTTTCATTCAATTATTTCAAATTTGATTCTTCCCTGCTAAGTTGTATGGTTGTTTTGTAAAGCATGGTAAGTGTTTGCTGGAACAAGAAAGAAAATAAAAACAAATGTTTATATTAATTTTGAAGGTTTTTGAACAGTGATTTTGACCTGTTGCTGACTTCATTTGGTAAATGTGAGCTGAATTGAGTCAATGGTGGGTTGAGTATTGTTACCTGAAAGCTCAGCTTTTCTCAGCTACTCCAAAGCACCTTAGAAGTGTCTCTTGGTGACTGACTTTGATCAGGGTCCCATCTCTTGTCTTCCACAGTGACAAGGACGGTATGTGCAGAACAGTGTGATGGCAGGTGCTATGGGCCCTATGTCAGTGACTGCTGTCATAGAGAATGTGCTGGGGGCTGCTCAGGACCCAAGGACACAGACTGCTTTGTAAGTCTTGGAGTTCCCCTTCTACTTTTCCTATCTCTCTCCTTCCGGGTTGGACTCAGGCACATTGAATCTTTAATTAAAATAAGATCAAGTTTAACCATTTTAGGATTAAGAAAGATGCTCTGCCTTCCTATAATTCATTCCCTCACTGGGTAGCTATTGATTACCTAGGATTGTTCTGTTCTAGCAAATGAATTATATCTTTCTGATGTAATTTATAATATAGGTGAGATGCATTAGAGAATGTGAAGAGGAACATATTGAGATATCTTTTTAAAAGCTAATAGTATCCTTCTAAAATTTACATTGATTACCTGTTTATGTTGTTGCATAGTTGAGTTTTCTGAGTGGGGGCTCTTGAATTTTATTTCTTGGATTCAAATTATAAGATTATAGTTGTAGATTTCAAGATTATTCATAAATTGACAAATTTAACTATTTCCCAGTTTATTTTGTTTGCAAGTTAATATTATTCATAATTTATAAGATTAACAAATTCATGCTTAAAGCAATTTATATGCTAATCTATGGGATTTTTATTTTAGAAAGGGACACTTTTCTTTCCTTAAAATTAACATTTATAGCTTGTTGGGGACATGTTTTAATTACATTTTAATATCCCCAATACAGTTCTTTCTGTTCTTTTGAATACAAACAGTTCTGTGAGCTATAGTTAACACAATTTCATATACAGATGTTATTTTCATTTTAAGCTAAAAATCATAAATAAGAAATTGTTTTTGCTGTTAAAAATGAACACAAAAGTTTATTTTCTTTTTTCACATTTTCAAATACCCAGAAAATACACATACATATTTAAAACTGAATATTTTTTTTCAAATTGAGACTCAACTCTGAAAATAAGCAAAACATAAATTAAAGCTCTTATGATATGGTCATTTCTTAATTTTCTTAACATCACAAGAAACTTAATTTGTCGACCCTAATCCTATAGTGAAACAAAATTTTATATTGCAGAAGTGAGTAGTGAGGAAGAAGAAAAGAAACACGTTAAAATTTTAAGGAAGGTGCTTTAGCAGGTCTTGAAGTGAGACCTTTTCTCTTTTTCTAACACCAGACACAAAATAAAGCTTGATGTCCAGGATGCTGAGCAGCTCTTAACAATTCCAAAACAGTAACAACAAAAAACACCAAAAACCATAACTTTCACTTAGAAGTTTTTCATTGGATTTGTTTTCATGGTTCCATTATCATAATAAACAGAGTGCCGGGTGAGTCTCAGAGTTCTCATTTCATTACTTTTATGGAATGGTTCAATGACTCCACTTTGGCATTTGGTACAGAATGTTCAAGAATGCCAGACCAAAGCCTTGGTGTAAGTTAGGTTGTTTTACATGCTGTCTGGAAGGTAAATTGGTTTGATTCCTTTAGTTTATGTCCCTTTGTTGCCAAGCAATCTGTGCACAACACTGCATAAAGTATGTTCGTAAAGCAATTATGAGGACACATGAAGTTTTATAGCCATAAATTAAAACTTAGTGAGTTTTGTAGATTGCTTTTTAATAGATTCTTCCTGGAAAATGTCATCTTAGTGAATAATGTATCATGAGTGAGTCTTGTCCTGATTATGCATCTAGTAGACTATCATCAGGGAATTGTCATGTTGGTGATAAAGTGCTTGCTAAAACAATTGATGAAGAAAATGTTTTGAGGAAACAGAATGAATTAGTGCTTATTAATAACCATACAATTTATGATGAAATATAAAATATAGCTTGAGTGCATATTAGCTTACTTTCCAAAACCTCAATTATTCCTATGAAGGTTTAAGTTGTTTAATTAAGAGAATTAGTTCATCCACTCTATTGAAAGCCATGTTTTATGTATACATATATTCTATTTTTATACCAAATACTTCTCAGATGGTAAAATTGTTTTTTAATTCTCTCAAAGGCATTAGAATGCATTAATAAATTGAGGTCTCACTAGAAAGGCATAAGGCAGCAGAAACAAACTGTTTTGTTTGAACTTGATGGCTTTCACTAAATGGCAAGGCATTATGAAAAAGACCATATAGAAAATGGCAGCACATTATTTAATTGTGAGCTAAGTATAGGCTGCTTCTCTTCATTTTGGCATACTCCATATTTATATTTGACTAGTCGCCTGCCAGAGCTTTTTCTTCAAGTCCAGTTTAAATGGCTGTTACAATGTTTTCTCACTATACAACGGTGATGAGTGTGCTTACCACGTCAATTATGGCACTGAACTTTTCCAAACACCTGATTTAAGGAAACACTAGACTGTAGACTTGGGGAGTTAGTTAGTGTCAGACTCTAAGACTGAACATAAACCCTTTGAATAGTGCGAGTTGGAATTATTTTTCACTATTAGCTAATTTTAATATGAAACCATTATTAGTTTGGAGATTACTAGGTGGAGACTAGGTAACTTGAATATCAGTATCTTTGTATAGATTGTATATTCATTGACATTGGAAAAACCGTTTTGTAAATTTTTTGAAGTCCAGAACAAATTTGAACTTAAAAATAAGCACTTAATGACTATAAACCTGTCCAATTTTATACTTTTTGTGAAATATAAAAATAGAACATGCACATATGTTTTATATAAATATTAACTTAATAAGTAAAGAACACATCACAAAGTTAGAGCAGTATTCCTGTAACAAGTATTATGAAGGTTATTTTTAAATGAAACTAATATTTTCTGTGTTTCAGGCCTGCATGAATTTCAATGACAGTGGAGCATGTGTTACTCAGTGTCCCCAAACTTTTGTCTACAATCCTACCACCTTTCAACTGGAGCATAACTTCAATGCAAAGTATACATATGGAGCATTTTGTGTCAAGAAATGCCCCCGTAAGTAACAAGATAAGAATAACCAAATTAATTAGATCATGATTTTAAAACACACACACAAAAATCATGTACCTGTATTATAATTTAAAATTTGTAACAATATTGTAAATTACTTGGATAGAGGTACTATTGCTACCATTTCACTAATAAGGAAATTAAAATTCAAAAAAATTAAAGTGATTGGTCTAAAGTCTCAGCAAAGAAGTGGAATGTTTGAGTTTAGAGTATAGTGTCATTGCCTTTTAAACTTACTGTTTTTATTATTCCTCCGTGTTTTTGCACATGATGCTGTTTCTCAAAAAAAAAATGAGAGCCAGCTTTGTAATGAATGAGGTCAGCTTCTAATCACAATGAATTTTTACCTAATATCCTTTCTGATTACTTATTTATAATAGAATGTATAGAATTATAGTTTTAATATAAAATCTCATCATAAACAATAACAATAGAAGTGAAGGGCTATTTAGAGGTCTTTACAAAATTGACAGCTCATCCTGGGGTTTCAAAGTAACCAGTTTAGCTTTCATCAGGAATTCAGTAAATGTCTGTCTTCATATTTGCTCCAGTCAGTTTCTTTGCTCGGAATGAATGATGGGACTTTATTTCTTTATTGTTTTATCTACCGGAAAAACTAAAAAAAAAAAAACAAAAACAAAAAAAAAACTTAAAAAAAAATCACTACATTTGTCCATATATTCATTTAAAAGAAGAAGGTTTTACAAACTATAGCACGTCACTCTTATGGTTTTCTTCATTTTGTGCCTGTGGTTAAATAAGAAGTATAAAGGACATGGGATTAGAGTGGCTGTGGGTTCTGCCTTGGCCCACGTATTACTTGTGTGATTTTAAATGAACTATTTCAATTTTCTTTGTATTCTCCTCTTTAGGATGTGGCTGGTAATAATCATAGCTCTTGTCACTACGAGAGTTATTATAATGATCAAAGAAATGGGGAATAAGAATCAGAGAGATAGCATATAACAACAAGTCTTTGAAAACAATGACAATTCTAGTTATTATTATTAAATATTTTTTATTGGTTAAAAGAATAATTACACATACAAGCTTTAAACATCTAGCTTGTGGCAAGTGGCTAACACTGAGAATAATTTTGTGAAATTACACTCCCAGTTTCCTTAGATATGGTAACTCCTAAATTTCTTTTCTTAGAATAGTTTAGTTCAACAAATTACAGACTGGGTGCCTGGGTGGCTCAGTTGGTTAAGCGACTGTCTTCAGCTCAGGTCATGATCCTGGGGTCCTGGGATGGAGTCCCACCTCTGGCTCCCTTCTCAGCAGGGAGTCTGCTTCTCCCTTTGACCCCCCCCCATGCTCTCTCTCTCTCTCATTCTCTCTCTCAAATAAATAAAATCTTTAAAAAAACAAACAAAAAAATTACAGACTAAACACTTCAATATTTAGCAATGTAAATCTCAAATATTTGAGTGGCCCTGCATAAGACATGGTTTGCTAAACTGTAACTATCTCGGAAAAACAAAGACATTTAGCTGCTAAATACTGCTCTACAGTCCTTAATCTTGAATTCTAAAATTCAAAAAACTCCAGACAAATATTTTTTGAAACTCATTTGGCGGCAAAACCTGAACCTAACTGATATGAGGGTATTTATAATCTGTATTTACTCCACTTGGCATATATTGCTGCGAAAACGTAGAAGTGTTTAAATGTGAGGTATTCCTGTGATCACCTTGAAGAAAGGATGGTTCCATAATATACAGTACATTCACTTGTTGCAGGTTGAGTTCCCCTCAGACAGAGATTAGGTTGTTAAGGAGGAAGAAAGAGAAGAGACAGGCTGTGATGCAGGCTCAACAATGTACCTTTTTTTGTGTGGCGGACGCCCCCTGGTGGATTACTGGGAATATCAAGATCACATTGTGCCCAGACCCATGGATCCATACCTATTCTTCTACTCCAGACTCCCTTCAATCCCAGATTTTCCAATATTTCTTCTCCCAAGGCAAACCACTGCTCATGAATCCATATTTATTCTAAGCTCAGGACGTGAGTGGGGAGGGGACAGGGGGAGAGGGAGAAGGAGAGAAAATCCTCAAGCCAACTCTACTCTGAACACAGGGGCCCAACTCAGGGCTGGACCCCCAGAACCCCAAGATCATAACCTGAGGCAAAACTAAGAGTCAGAAGCTTAACCAACTGAGCCACCCAGGGGCCCCACCACTTGGATTTTATGACCCAAGCAGCAAAATGCTTGCATCCCAGACTGGACCTGTACCATATGTCTTTCCTGATCTGAGACCCCTTCAAGGCCAGAAGCCCTTCCAAAAGTCTGAATGTTAGACCAGAAGCAGTATGCCCAGACAGGGAAGGATACTGCCTTTAAAATACAAAGGGGCCTAGCAGGTGTCATGTTGCCTCTACTGTGGGAGGCTCTAGATGCAATAATTTGGTCTTTTTTTGGGGTGGGGGAGGGAGCATCCTGGCATATTTCAGATCGCTGGAGCCCTAAACATTTCACAGGCGTATCAGGTAATCAGACATTCCTGGTTTATGTAGTATACCTTCCCTAGTCTCCTTTCAAATTCCATTTTGTTTCCTCATATAAAACCGTGGAACAGTTTCTGTGGCATTCCACTAAGAGATAGAACACATTTTAAACATTTCCTCTTGGATATGAAGTGTGCTTTCTCGATCCAAGGCAATTCAACTTCAGCTTCATTTGTGCTGCATGTAACTTGAAGTATTTTTAGATTACAGACTTGCATCATGACATGAAATGAAGTGGAACTATTGAAAAACACAAACTAAATGTCATGTAGTTTCCTAAGTCTATAAAAGAAATTCACTGTGTCTTGGGGGCTCTTCAGGATGCGGAGCAGTAGTCAAGCAAGGACTAACTGTTGTTAACACAGGCTGCCCTTGGATTGGAATGTGGATGTTCAGATTCTGTTTCAGGTGGAGATATTTGAACAGAGTTGTTTTAGGGAAAGAGGCAGACATGTATACTATCAATGATACTCATCACTGTCAGTCCCTAAAGTACTTTGTTTTAAACTTGTTTGCCGGCCATCAACATTATTGCTCATTTTGCCTTTTTTTTTCCCCAATCAGATAACTTTGTGGTGGATTCCAGTTCTTGCGTACGTGCCTGCCCTAGTTCCAAGATGGAAGTAGAAGAAAATGGGATTAAAATGTGTAAACCTTGCACGGATATTTGCCCAAAAGGTGAGTGATAGCTGAGATTATGCCGGCCTGAACAGGGACCTGCTCCAAGGTTTTTCCATTTGCTCTTCAATGGACTGGCTAAGTTCCCCTCTCTGAACACACACATACCTTTCCATGACTTTGAACAGTTCCCCAAAGTATCAACTATCTTAACAGTGTGTGTTAATGATTTTGAATGATGTAAACTAAATAACCCAGGTTAACCTGGGAGTTAGCATTGATAGAAACTCAGGAAAAAAGTTATATTTTATTCTATATGCAGCAAATCTTAGAAGTTAAGCACATAACAAGGGATGGATTGTGTGATTATTTTCACATCAAGAACCCATGTTAATCGCTTGCCACTCTACACTAAATGATTTGCTATGCATATGAAGGGGTGCAAAGAGACAAATAACATGATACTTACCCTCCAGAGCTTCAAAACTACTTTGAAAGATTAGATGTATAAAATGACAAGGAAATTTACCATACATATTAAATAAATGTTGCAAATGATTCCTGTTTTAGAAATTGAGTGCAGAAAGAAATCCCTTCTAGCTGTGGTGCTCCAATTCCTCACCCAAATGAAACTTAAATTAAGCAGGATGAACATACAGTCTAAATTTTATAAATGATATTAAGCCTTCCAAATGATCACAGATTGCCTTAGAAACGGCAATCAAGACTTGTTTTTTACTACATTCTCTCTTTCCTCTTTCCTTCTCCCCCCCCCCCCATATTTTATTTGCTTCGCTTTGTTTGTTTGTTTGTTTTGAGTAGAGCCTTCAGAAAGTACAGGTAATACTCAATTTAAGAATGTAAGAATAGGGGCACCTGGGTGGCTCAGTTGGTTAAGGGTCTTTCTTCAGCTCAGGTCATGATTTCAAGGGTCCTGAGATCAAGCTCTACATTGTTTGGGCTCTGTGGTCAGCAGGCAGTTGGCTTTTCCTTCTTTCCCTCCCTCTACCTCTCCTGACTCTCCCCTGCTCATGCTGTCTAACCAACACACCACCCTCCTGCTCCATTCAAATAAATAAATAAAATCTTTAAAAAATAATTTAAGTATAAATATTTCAATGGCTCTTGCTTCTGATTACACCTCCCAACATTAGTACTTTGTTTAATATGTATTCTTAATTAGACCAATGGTAAAACCACAGTTTGAAGACCATCATTAGGCTATGAAATTATTTTACTCAATTGAGTAAAATAACACTGAAAATGGTATTTTACGATAGATGAAAAAATAGTTGATTTTATGTGCCAAAAGCAAGCATTGATTGTTGGAAGTTTGTTTTAGTTACATATGTGTTGTGCGGGTATACTTGGACTTGATATAAGATATTTTTATGTGTCATGGTCACGAGACTACAATGCAGGGACAATATTTTAAAGCAGGCCCAGCAGTTAATGTTGCATGAATAAATTTTTATTTTACTTGTTAGAAAACTGTGTATGTCTTATGATGAACTTTCTTCATTTTATAATGAAATATACTGTTATTTTATAATAGAAATGCAATGATTTATTGTGCAAAAAAATAGTTGCTCAACTCCCTGACTGTGAGTCTTGTTTTCTGCAGCTTGTGATGGCATTGGCACAGGATCACTGATGTCAGCTCAGACCGTGGATTCTAGTAACATTGACAAATTCATAAACTGCACCAAAATCAATGGGAATTTGATCTTCCTTGTCACTGGTATTCATGGGTCAGTATGAAATTGTTGTAGAAAATTATTTTACGAAGTGTAGACAAAGCTTAAGAGATTCTTTAGCTTTGTCTGTTTGATTCCTTTTGACCTAGATGAGTTCTTCCCTCCGTTAATGTTCTTCTCCAACAAAATCAAATTCCAGATTTTACCAGCAATGATAGTAAAAACCACAGTTTTGAGATACATAGACTATGAGTTTAGTAACTACATAGATTTGACAATATAAGTTTATATGTAAACTAAAACGTATTTGTGGGATAGTCTCCTCAAATCCACAGATTTCAGAAAGTTTGACATATTTTTACAAATGTTTAAGGAAACAATGTCAATGGGTGAAGTGAGGAATTTCATTCAAATTCCTAACTGATTAGTTCAGGGAAGAATAAATTAATATTCTTTTAAAAATGTATGTCATAGAAAACCAATCAGTAAGTTGAAATTCTCTTGAGCTTTCAGAAATTCTCTTTGGCCTGATGTATCTTTTATCTTTCTCTTAGGTTAGGAAATTAGTACTAGTATAGGAGATCTAATAAATGAATTTCATTTTAGCAATAAAAATTGTAACATTTTCTGGGTTCCTTCATTACGGAACCACCTGCTGGTTTTAACTAGGAAAACAGCCAAGTTTGTATTCTTTCAATTGTAATAAAAACGTCAGTATTTTTACTTTATATTTTATCTATTTATCTATATTACTCTTAATCCCTAAATATTAGTGCTACAAGCTACAGATAAAGAATATGACTCACATATTTCAATTCAAAATCTTAACTCTAAACATATATCACATCATTTCTAGAAGCAAAACAATTTAACACATTATGAATAAATATGTCCAAACAAGAATACCAAAAGAAATAGAACAAAGTGTTTCTTTCCACGCAAATAAGTTACAGTAGGTCTTATTGCATAAAGCATTTTTTCACTTTAAAATGTAGCTTTTAATATGGGTTCATGCCAGATACTATAATGGAATGTACACACTTTCTTCCCCATATATGTTTTATTCAGCCCAAGCAATGCTTAAAAATAAATATATATGTTCAAGATTTCTAACTTCTCTTTAAAAATATGTAGATTTGGTTCCTTAACACATTCTTCTACATGGCAACAATCTTTTGGAGCCAGGTAGTTCTAGCCATTTTTAGATAGGACAACCAAATTTACCAGAGTCACTACTAACCCTCTGAATTGATTTACATTGCTAACCTCACCTTCTTCACCCCAATGAGTAGGAGACCTGGGTCAACATTTAGGTGCATCTATATAATGGAATGCATGTATGACATTTACTAAGACAATATATCTACACTGTAACTATTTTCAAAACCAAAACTATTTTCAAAACCAAATACCACTATGAATTAAAGATCATATCATGTTAACAGCATCTTGTGAGAAATAGGAAGACATACACACTTAATTCACATTGCCTGCCTCCACACGGGTATAATACGTGAATTGGCCTCAAGTCCATCAGTGCAGGGAAAGATTTGAAAATGCAGTCTTATAAATTGCATTGGAGAAGTTGTTTTCATTCTAATCAGACCCAACGTCCATCTTTTATATATTAAATGTATTCATACCTCCTTTTGAATTATGAAATAAAAATCACAGATAATATAGCCTACTTATATACATAATTTTATAAAGTGATTGTAATTCTCTATTTTTGATTTAAAGAAAAAATACAAGTAAAGTAATGGATAACAAAATATGAATTGATAGGAAAATGCTCAACTTCTACTTACTTGGAATGAAAGTTTGGATTTATGAGAAATGAGATTAGAAGTTATTCTGTGCAAGAAGTATGGGGAAGTAAAGAGCAGAGGGACAGCTGACCACTGGAATAGGAAATAAGTAACAGACATATTGTTATATGAGGAGGAAAATGGAAATAAGTATCATTCAAATAGAAGTAACATGACTGCAGAATTACACATAATCATGGTATGATCAACTATGAAGTTTGTGCACATGGGTCCTTAACTGGGTGAGACATTTTAAGGTTATTCAAGACATGAGGCAAACTTTGCTGGGAAAAGACATTTAATTTTCTTGGCTTGGGGTTATTACTAAAAGCCTATAATGTCCCCCAATATCTGTTACAACTGACACGTCTCTGCAAATGTCCCAGCTTCCCTTGAGGTAGGAAATCCTGCCCACATTGAGAACCACTGCAAGATTTCTGTGATAGTAGAAGGATTATGAACCAATGGAAGAAATCCACTGATGGTTAATCTTGTAGGTAAACCATGGGCGGGGAAGTTTGACAAAGATGATCAAATGCAGTTCACAATTCTTATTTTAGTCTTTGTTCCTTATGGAGCATACTTATCTGAAGTCTGGATTTATACTAATTGTAAAATGGTTTTACATATTCTGAATCACCTAACGTCCAGAATAGAGGAAATATTAATAAATACGTGCAAAAAAGGGAAGCAGATATGTCAAGATATAAAAATATGTTGCACAACAGATACCATTTATTCACAAATTTATGAGAAGAATCATTACAAAGTATTAGATTAATCTAGACTTTCAAGGAAAACAACCTTACTAATTCATTCAGGTGGAAATGGATTATAGGAAATTGACTTGCATGATTAGGAACAGAAAGGTAAACAAAGTCTCTCTTAAAAATGAGCTCAGAAGTAAAAGTTAAATTTCCTACTTCATTAATTTGAGCCAGACTATACTAGAGTTTGCTTTGAGGCTCTAACATAGACAGTTTTACTGAGTTGCTTGGTTTCCATTATATGTCAAATGCTCAGTTTCCATTATATGTCAAATGCTTAGTTTCCTCCAGTGTAAAGTTGAGAATTCGGTTTATAATAAAATACCTACCTTCTCTGATTATTGCAGAGATTAAGAACAAAGATCATTTTTAAGTGCTCAGCTGAGTACCTGATATATTGTAAAACATTAATAAATGGTGGAAAAATAAAGAGGCATGGGGAGAAAAGGAGGGAGAGAAAAAAAGGGAGAGAAAGAATAAAGAAAAACCAAAGGAGGAGACAGTTCTAAAGAAAAATCTCAATAACTGTATTTAGTTGTAGCACAACATGTAATGTAACAGATATTATTTTGTAGACTAATGAAAACCAAATAGAGGCAAAGTTTTTTTCATGGCAATATTTCCTTTATGGTAAGTCACACTCCTTCCTTAGTCCAGAAGATTATTATTTCTTCTTAATCATAACACTGAACTTAGAATATTTTAATACTAACATTATAATTAATATTACTGTGTCTCAACCATAATATAGAAGGCATTTTCCAGGGCAAATATATACATTATATATGATATTTCTCATTCTTCCTAATTTTATGTCAGTATAAAACATTATCTGAAGCCTTTCTCTTGATCTTTGGAAGGTTTTGATAAAAAGTCTATTTTGTGGGACTAAGACATCTTACAAATATATAGACATTATTTGTATTCATGTATACAATTCATGCATGGATGGAGAGAGAGATTTTAAATGTGAATAACATTATAAGCATTATAAGTATTATAAGCAAAAAACTTCTAGTAAATTAAAGACATGTTTTACTTCCCTTAATTCCCATTACCTTGATCTTCAACTATTTTTTAATAGGACGTATGGTTTGAGTAAAGTAGCTAAAGTATTTCTTTAAGCTAATAGGTAAAATTCATAATTAAATGAGATTATGCTTTTCAAAAGTTTATGCAAAAAAATAAATTTATGGTTAATTTGTCAATTACAATTTTTAATATATAAAAGAACTCAATAAAGTTAACTGGCATGCTCATTATATAACACAATGGTGTCATTGCCAGAAATAGACTAGGCACTCTTAGTCCTTTATTTAGAATGGGAACCACAGGCAAACCTGTGTGCAGGGCTGTCCATAGGAATGTTCACCTTTCATCTCTTGTCATGTTTGATAATAGTCATGTGCATGTACTTAGAGTAACAGAATGCTCACCAAATAAGTATGTTCAAACTATATCGCAGTGAGACACAGACAAGAAAGTGCTTAGATAAGAGAGTGTAGTGATGATATACGATGGAAAAGAGACAATGGGTTTGGTGAAAAATAAAGCGATTTCAATGGAATTGTAAAAATATGTTTCTCTCTATCCTGAGCTTTATTTTGGATCACCAAACACAATGACAGGATGGACATAAAGTTCTTTCTCGTGGCTCTGAATTTAGCTAGGGAAGTTCTCAATTTTAAAGTCCTCTGGATTTCAAGTGGCTATAGGATACAACTCCCTGCAGGTACTTTGAAGTTGGTAAGTAGGATTCTGTCAACTTATTTTATGAGAGTCCTGAATCTCTAAAATTAAGTATATAAAATTTCTGTGGTCCATTGGGTTTCATATGAACAGTCCCGAACTCATTTCATTCCTAGCAACTTGGAAGTATTCTCAGTAAAGGTTTGCACTGACCCCATCATTGTGTGCTTGCCCTGAATTGTGAGTATTTCTTAATAAAGCCAAGATATTTGATTATATGACCAGAGCTGTTCTATACACTGCTTTTCATCAAACAACAAATGTTGAAAGCTCATTCTACTACTGCAGAGCTGATATTTTCTCTGCATACAAAAGTCTTTACACATTAAAAAATGATAACAACAAGAATTTTCCCGCATGGCGAACTTAATTTCTTGGCTTCACGTTCATCAAAAGCATAATATTTTATTCGATGTATAATCAGTTATAAATAGAGCAAGTTTGCCAGAACATTTAATTTAGACTTTAAGCTTTGAGAGACATTCATATCACATTGAGGAAAATCTTAATTATGTGTGAATTATGGGCAAACTCATTTATAGCCTTCTATAACACTTCCTGTTAAACTAGCAGTTCATTGTATCAGTTATACTTCATAGACTGAAACAGTATTTAACCAAGCAGAGTTTTTGTTGTTGTTGTTTCATTTTGCTTTTTTTTTTTTTTTGTATTTTTTAAGATATAAGTTGGTTCACAGTATAGAAGCAGATGCAGATAAACCAAGCTTGAGGGAGCCAGTAAAATGGGGTTCCAGAGGTCAAGGTTGCTGGAACTAATGGCGATTTCAAGGTTCTAATGCAAGGATGAATTAAAATCAGTGGATTTAGACTCAGATTCCTAGAAGATAAGCCTTATGCCTTTCTGTTTGTTGGAGGGCTGTGGAGCACCTTGATTGATAGCCCTATTAAAGCCACATCTAATGTATCACTGTATCCTATTGTTTACTTCCCAAGTGAAAAAGAAGGTTCTCAAAGATGTAAAACAGCAGATGTCCACAGGAAGAATAAGGCTCAGGTGATTGCTACAGATGGATACATGCTTCTAAAAAAACCTAAGTTCATTGTTCTTGGGTTTGATCTCTCTTGGAGAAGTGGTCAATGAATAGGATTTAATTTTTCTCTGGAAGTTATATATTGATACAAGTTCTCTACTTGCCTAGAATAGCAGAAGTCATCTTTCAAAGTAATAAAACTTTTTTTTTTTTTTACTTTTCTAAATGAAGTATTTTTTTTTTTTTTTTTACTGTGTTATGTTAGCTACCATAAAATACATAATTAGTTTTTGGTGCAGTGTTCCAAGATTCATTGTAAAACTTAAAAAAAAAATGTATTTCTTAAAATAGTTGAAAATATTGCTTGAATTACTGAGAAGTGTTTGGCATTATTTAGAAGTATTTATTTGGTATGGTCACTATATTATAGATGAAAGGTTTCTCCTTAAGAAGAAAACTCTGAAAAAAAAACAATAAATACTTAATTTTAGAAGTTATTTTATGTTCATTTTTGAAAAGAAAAGGCATGTATATATCAATTACATTAATTACAAAAATATATTTATGCATTAGGAGAGGGCATTTTTTTTAATCTCCAAAATTTACACGTTTTGGATATTATTAAATTTGTTATAAATTTTGTTTCAGATGTTAGTATGATTCATAAAGATGGGAGCAAATATTTTCTGTGCTATAAAAGCAAATGTAAATAAACCATATAGGAACAAGATTGCTCAAAATAATCCTTATGAAGAGTAACTTTCATACTAATAAATGTAAGGATATAGCAAAAAAAGAAAAAATATTTCTTGTGTTTGTTTTTATACATCTTATGAGATTATAGGTGCTATTAACAATTTAGGATGTTTGAGAAGACCAAAAAGCAATTGTTCTCACCATAATTATTTGTAGTGTATATTTTTCCTAATTAAGAAAAAAAAACTTTAAAGGCAAAATACAATAAATAAAATTTATAAGTAGACTTGATATGTCTGGAGGTTTCTTTAGGATAGTCAGACTGGACCATTCCTCTAGAACTAGAATAGCCTTCGATGAAGATCTCATCTGATATCATCATAAATGTCTTCAAAGCCCCTTTTAATCCTCCTCCACATGTAGCCTAACAAACTTTGGACAAGGCATTGCTAATTTTTCCATTGCTACTTAAATCCAATCTGAATGAACTAACTACAGTCATATTTCTTATGTTTTCATTCCTTTATCTGATTTAAAATCTGGCTGCATCTCTTCTTTATTCTATAGAGACCCTTACAATGCAATTGAAGCCATAGACCCAGAGAAACTGAATGTCTTCCGGACAGTTCGAGAGATAACAGGTAATTTTTAATAGTACATTTTTGTGCTATGAACTATGTGAATTTTGGCATTTTCCTAAAAATATTATATAGTATTGAAATCAACAACTTATTTTCAAAGCAAATTCTAGTTTTAAAATGAATATCATTTTAAATTATGGGTGTCTTTATTCCTTAGCATTTGTGCACATTTTGAAAGCCTGTGGAATTTATGAAATAAAATATCTTTGATATTTTTATGTTATTGCTTTTGTGTCAACTGATCTTTTGATCCACGTTTTTCTGTGTACCTTTTCACAAGAAATACTCTTGAGCATGGATAACATGTAGCACTCATTTAGCGCATATTTACTGAGCACCTGATATGTTCAGGGCTGTTATATAGTAGCTGATGAGAGACTCATAGACATGAACTGGATATAGATTTGCTATTGAGAATGAAAAATCAAATGAGAAAGGTTAGATGTATATATATATATATAGGAATGCATTAGACTGCAAGGCAGACAAATGATATCCTAAGTGTAGAGATAGAGTAGTAAAGGATTTCCAGAGAAATTAAAGCTGTATTTTTCTTTATATGTAATTAGACTAAGTATTTTGACTTTAGAAGAGTGAGTCAAGGGGTGCTTGGGTGGCTCAGTCATTAGGTGTCTGCCTTCAGCTCAGGTCATGATCCCAGGGTCCTGGGATCGAGCCCCACATTGGGTTCCCTGCTTGGTGGGGAGGCCTCCTTCTCCTTCTTGCACTCCCCCTGCTTGGTTCCCTCTCTGTCTCTCTCTCTCTGTCAAATAAATAAATAAATAAATAAATTTTCAAAAAATTAAAAAAAAATAAAAGAGGAGTGAGTCAAATGAAGGATCATTTAGTTATTTTTACGTATGTAGTTTTATGATCCTGTGTGTCTGAGAAACCTAGATTTTTGGTGTTCATTAGTTAGGTATTTGTTATATAATGAATATTGTAGCCCATGAACTTTGGGTAAGACAATCTTACTTAGAAGAACTAGGAGATAGAATAGAATGAGTCAAAATAGGAACATTTAGTGTCTTTTTTTTTAAACTCCTATCTTTCAAGGCATTTTCATCATGTTTCAAGGATAGTCAGCATTAAACACAGTTACTAAGGTATTGGTATTCTGAGTTTTTTCACTGCTCTTGTCTTTTTTAGGTTTCTTGAACATACAGTCATGGCCCCCAAACATGACCGACTTCAGTGTTTTTTCTAACCTGGTGACCATCGGTGGAAGAGTGCTCTATAGGTAGGTGTGTATGTTCAGAAATGCAGGTCTTCCAGATTTCAAGACTAATGTCATGTGTACATATCTCAAAGTTTCAGCTTCACTGATTCTAGAAATATTGGGTTTCCATTTTTAATTCCAAACGTAAGCCCAATGAAAAATACCCCTGGTTATGCTTTAAAGTATGCAGGATAAAAATAAATAAATAAGTAAAGTATGCAGAATAAACAGTTTGATTTTTCAACTGCCTCTCACTTAAAGTGATTTTAGTGTTTTGCAGGTATGGTATGCATAAAATCAAACCTTTGTTTTTGAACATATGTTATCATAACTAGCAACTAACATGGGATTACTTGATAATGGCTTAGGGGTACAGGAGGCAAATGCTATTTTACCCGAAGATTCTTGTCTCTGGCGCCATCATTTCAACCATGCATCATGGGGCTGATATTTCAGGACTTGGTCCACTGCTCTGTGTTCAATGCTGGCTAATAGTGGGCAGGAAAATCAGGGCCCAGAAGCACACTGAAGGTCTAATATCAAAATTTTAATTCACATAATAAAATGTGTGAGTTAATATTTATTAAGCCACTGCTTTATTTTATTTTAGATTTCCTCTGTATGAGATTCTTATTTATGAACAGTTAAAAGTTAATTTACAATAAGGGATTTAGATTTCAATTTTTCTACTTAAATCTGAAGGATGCCTTTAATCAATATTGTCATCAAATATTCCATAATAATATTCTCAGAAAGTCCACTGAATTTTGCTATTAAAATAGGTATATCTGTAAGAGGTTTTAAACTGTAAGGGGGAAAAGTTCTTAATAAAAAGGCATAATTGAGAGATACAGTCCTTTGAAGTGCTACATGCGACTAAATTTTACTATCCATTGAATCAAATGTTAAAAATCTGCTATGCATTATTATGTTCACATTGTAATAAACAACTCAGGATGGTTATGATGAGAACACAGATTTCAGAGAATGAATTACATCTCAGTTGAATACACATGTACTGAGTTTTATACATACATATATATGTATGTATATATATGTATATAAGTATATATGTAGGTATATGTGTGTGTATATATATATTATATATGTGTGTATATATATATGTATGTACGTATATATATACACACATAACACATGGAAAAAATTCTGAATATTGCAGAAAAATATATTTAGATTTATAAATAAAATAAAAGAGGACAGCTTTGATCTGCAGAATGTAAAATATTGTTCATTAGTTGATTGAAATGTGGGAAACAGATGATTCTTTAGAGAATGGAAAAGGAATTTAATTAAAAAATGTAGACTGTTAAAATAAAAATAATTTCCTTGAAATGATAATTTGTTTACATAGTATAGTTGTTATTTAACTTTTAGACATGCTTTCCCCAGTTGTCCAAGCCTTCTGAGTATTTTTTTTAACTTTTAGCTTAATTTCATTCTTTTCTTTAATTTTTAATGTCTCCTATCTTTACTGACACATTCTTCAACTATTACAATTTGTTTCTGAGTTTAAATTAAAGCCAAATATCTATAGTCATACTCTGCAATATTTACCCTCTGAAAGCTTATCTAAATTTTTTAAATAGAGTAGAATTAATGTCTTACCTTAGGTAGATGAATAATATTCCACAAACAATTGTTGATTATTTAGCTTTTGAAAGTTTTATTTAAGTAATCTTTACACTCAACGTGGGGCTCATACTCATGACCCCAGGACCAAGACCCTCGTGCTCATCCAACTGAGCCAGCCAGAATCCCCTAATTATTTAGTTTTAAAACTGAATTTCATCCTTGAAGAACTTGAGACTTAGGGGATAGTGGGAAAAATAGTGAGCAGATATGTCAGTGGTAAATATGTAGACAGAAATGGAGGTATCGTTAATATTTGTACTTCTAAAAATGAACCTTTTCTTTTGGGGGAGTCAAATTATTCCTTTTACAACTTAGAATATATAGCATGTAGAAAAATAATATTCAGATCACAATTTAGTGATTCAGTCTCTTTTTTATGCCGTATTAGCATTCTTTTTAGAGTAAGATGTGACATCCTTATTTTACTTCAAGAATATATGCCAGAAGATGTTTATTAATATATACATATTAAATATTGTTCCATTCCCTCCCTTTCTTCCCTTTAGTGGCCTCTCCTTGCTTATCCTTAAGCAACAGGGCATCACCTCTCTACAATTCCAATCTCTAAAGGAAATCAGTGCAGGAAACATCTATATTACTGACAACAGCAACCTGTGTTATTATCACACCATTAACTGGACAACACTCTTCAGCACTATCAACCAAAGGATAGTAATCCGGGACAATAGGAAAGCTGAGAACTGTAGTAAGTACATTATTCAGACATTAAAACAGAAACTTTGAACATTTTCTCCCATTCTGCATTGGACCAAACAGTTAAAAATAACTAAGTCAGAACTTTTCCCTCTTTTTCTCAAGTGTTCAGAAGGGGGGTAGTTAAACAGAATGGGTGACTTCTTATAATTTATTGCATGTTTTTATAACATACTGTGTGCTTGCAAATCTTCCTCAATTATAAGAAACTTCCTATAGAGACTAAGGTTCAGTAGGTGTTAGGTGGAACCTGGGACTTGAAATATGTAATAAGCATCCTGGGTGCATTCTTTGGATACCATCAGTTTGTGGCAATTCACCCTATCGAATTTTCTGTTTGCTTCTTGGTTTCAGTGAATAACATAACAGAGTGTCATTTGGGGGGTGGTGGAAAAAAATGCAGATGTGTTCTGAAATGTGTAAAAAATGCTGTTCCAGAAATTTGCTGTTCAAGAAGAAAGTTCATTTCATAAATGCATTTCTCTAGGCATTTCATGGTTTCTCCTTTCATTTATTTTGCCACTTAGCGATTTACTCCATCATTTCTTTGTTACTCAGAAGCAAATGATGTTTTCATGGGTACATAACTATGCCCTTCCTATCCTATACTTTGATATTTCAAGGATTAATACTTAACTCTGTGTGTTTCTACTAAGTACGATTTTCTTCTACATCTACAAGTGCCACTGCTAAGCATATGTGTCTGACTTACTTATGATAAATATCAAATAAAAAGATTCAGAATTTAAATTATCTGTTATAAATACATATATTTATTGTGGCTATAATGAGTAAGTCCTTTTAAAAATCAAATCCTAAGAAACAGTTTGCTATTGGGATGTCTTCTTACTTGTTTGGTCTCACCATGGGACTAGGCACAAAGGCATATATACATAATGATTTAGTTAATTTTTTATGCATATGAGTGAATAGTAAAGGACATTTTAAAATATATGAACTCTTAAGAGGCCTATGCAATTTAAGTTTACTAAGTTAAATAGTGAATTAATTTGTCTGTGAGTACCCCACCTTGTTTAAGGCAGCTCAGGTTAGCAGTATTCATAAAATATAACATAATTTATGAGGAAACCACATTTTAGCTGTTTTGGACCCTTAAAAATATTTTCCAAAGAAAAGATGTATTGCAACTTGAGTTTTTTTTTACTTTGGGTGAACGAATTCTTCCTTTCCACATAAAATTAAGAAATATAAAATCTTATTTTATATCAAAATATGCATGTTCTTATTGAATAATATTTATCCTTTTATTTAGTCTGGATTATTTCCTGATTTCTTATAAGTCTTTTTTTTTTTTAAAAAGATTTTATTTATTTATTTGACAGACAGAGATCACAAGTAGGCAGAGAGGCAGGCAGAGAGAGAGAGGGAAGCAGGCTCCCCGCTAGGCAGAGAGCCTGATGTGAGGCTCAATCTCAGGACACTGGGATCATGACCTGGGCGGAAGGCAGAGGCTTAACCCACTGGGCCAGCCAGGTGCCCCTACCTTCCTGATTTCTGACAGAAAGCTTGTTTTCCTTTTTTCTAATACTTAGGCTTTTTATCCCACATTACTATATGTATGTTTGTACATGCCCCAGATAAATAGATTATTCACAAAAGTAAAATAGAATCTTCTTTAACACAAATTTATAACTATTACCCTAAGTCAAGGTTATCTTCTCCTTTTCTCCTACTTCTGTCAAAAAACAAAGTAAAACAAAACAAAAATGGAATAGTAGTACTCCTACCTTTCAAAGGTAAAATTTAACTCTAAAAACAAGAAAATCTAAAGAAAAAAAAATAAAAGAACCAGAGAAACACATTCCTCTTTGATCCATTTAATCATTTTTATAAAACCCTCATTTACTTCTTTTATCTTTTGTAAGCTGAATAAAAAGCAAATGGGAAGAAGAAAATGTGGGAAGAAATTACATGTAAAAAAGGCAAGGTAGGAAAAAAAGTTGTAACTATTCCATACTTCTTTAAGACTTCTAAACTTTTTATGCAACAAAAAAAGGAAATAATAACAATAAACTAAAAATCTAACTTGTGGGGCACCTGGGTGGCTCAGTGGGTTAAGCCTCTGCCTTTGGCTCAGGTCATAATCTTAGGGTCCTGGGATGGAGCCCCACATCAGGCTCTCTACTCAATAGGGAGCCTGCTTCCCCTTCTCTACCTGCCTCTCTGCCTACTTGTGATCTCTCTCCCTCTCTGTCAAATAAATAAATAAATAAATAAAATCTTAAAAAGAAAATCTAACTTATCTTTATAGTTTTCAGTGTTATGCCTGTTAGACTGAGTTTAGCCCTTTTCCAGACCATGATGTACTTTCTTGTTATTTGCACTTAGAGTTGATTTTTCAGTTTGGGGAAGAAATGAAGCAGTTAGGAGAAACACAGTTTTATGGTGTTTTAGTATAAAACTGAGCTTTATCATATTTTAAAACATTTAAAATGTTTTAAACATTTTAGAACAATTTTCGCATGGAATCCATTGATCAAAATTTGAATTTCAGTGTAACAGTACACTGGATCCTGCCTTTTCAGAAATGTAATTCCCTTGTAAACTTGACTTTAGAGGCAATGCTGCAGAACCTACAATGGTTGCCCACATGTGATTAAGGCTTTTTTTTTTTTTTTTAAATCATCCATACTGCTATCTGCAAATGATAAAACTTAAATATTTGCCTCATTTTAAATGCACTGTACATATTGCATTTTTTAGATATCCTCTCTTAAGATGCTTTGCACATACAAGATATACACAAGCACATACATGTATTCACAACACACACACACAAGCATAGAGCATACATGCAGGTCTGAATATACACATATAACATGTGCATGTGTTTGTAGCACTAGAATGCATGCATGTGCACACACACATCCATGCATACACACAACATCATCATAAAATACTCAGATTAAATCTGAGCATTGGCTTGGTAACTTAAAAGAGAAGGCAGCCTTGATTTTTAACTGTGTTTTTGGAGTTCAACATGATTTAAACAGAAATGACAATAAAAGAAGAACTTCGTCTTATCTGTAGAGTGTGAAAGTGGCTTGAGCAATCATACACTTTTGAGTCAGAAATTTCAAAGCAGACTTTATAATTTGAAGAGATTGAGATTGAGAGAAAGTCTAGGATATGAAAAGGTAGAACATTTTCTGTCTCTTCATTTGTGTGGTTATAGCATGAGCAAAAATGACAGTACTGGTTGGAAGGACATTTATTGTTTTTATTTTTATTTAAAAGAAAAAAGATTTATTTATGTATTTGAGAGAGAGAGTGCACGGGGGGAGGAGCAGAGGGAGAGAGAGCATCTCAGCCTGACTCCAGGCTGAGCACAAACCCAGATGCAGGGCTCCATCCCAGGACCTCAAATCATGACCTGAGCCCAAATCAAGAGTCAGCTAAGCCATCTAGGCAGTCCTGGAAGGAGTTTTAGAGTAGGTTAATGAAAGTATTTGAAGTTTCTTAAAATACTTCAACATAAACTTTTAACACCAAAACATAAACAGTAAAGAGATAAATATTATCTAACTCCTCAGAATCTGAGTTACATTTGAGCTCATAATTTTTATCTTAAAAATATTTGTACATGTGCACTTAAACCCAACATAAACAAGAGAGAAACTAAATTCATAATTAACTTTTCAAAATGGAAATACATTTATTTTTCAAATTATCATCAGAAATTAAAACAATAGATACATGCAAGAAGACTATGTAATTTTTGTTTACAGATATATAGATAATGAAGCATATCTCTTCATATATAAATGGTATCATAACATATATATTTAAAGACTGTTCAGCTATCTATGTCTCTGTTTAATATACTATGAGCATCTAACATGGCAGAGTTCTACTTTATTGTTTTAAAAAATACATATAAATGTTTATTGAACAAGTGTCATATTAATGATAATGTATTTTCTAGTTTTTATATTATTAGATTGCCATAATGTGAATCTTATTTCATAAAACATTTTGCGATGTGCAATTATTTCCTTAGGGTAAATATTTAGAAGTGGGATTTCTGTGTAAACGAGGCTGCATATGATAAATTTACGTGATTTTTCTACATCATCTTTCAAAAATGCTAAGTCAGTTTACACTTGTCCTAAACAATGCTCGATAAAGAATATTTTCCACTGCTCTTTACAACACTGGATATTATCTATAGTTTTAAATTTGGGTAATATGAAATATGAAAAAAAGGTCTTTTTTTAAAAGATTTTATCTTATTTATTTGACAGAGGGAGAGATCACAAGTAGGCAGAGAGGCAGACAGAGAGAGGGGGGAAGCAGGCTCCCTGCCAAGCAGAGAGCCTGATGAAGGGCTCAATCCCAGGACCCTGAGATCATGACCTGAGCCGGAGGCAGAGGCTTAACACACTGAGCCACCCAGGCACCCCTGAAAAAGAGGTCTTTTAAACTCACTTTTTCTTAGCTGACATTGAGCCTCTTTTTATATGTTGACTGAACATTTTTTTTCTCTTGTAAAATAGTCAGTCATGAGCTTTCTTTATTTTCATTTGGGAGTTGGTCTTTTCATTTTGGAATTGGAAGACTTCATCACAAATTAAATACATTAAATTTTTATCTCTTGAATGTGTTATATATAACTTTCCCTCTCATAATTAATTTTAAAGTTTTGCCTTTTAATAAACAAATATTTTATGTTTTTATCTTTTTCTTTTTCTTTTTATGTTTAGTATCTTGGCATTGTCTTACTATTTTACTGCTAGTATTTTAAAAGCTATATGGACATTTTTAATCCATCTAGGAGTTTTGCTATAGCATTTTTTTTAGAATCTTTAATTGATTAGGACATTGATCAAACATAATTTATTGAATAATTCATCTTTCCTCTCTGATCTTAGGTATCTGCAGTATTTCAGCTAAATGACAAAACAGTGCCAGGTTCTCTCTCTCAATCTACATAGTTTAATTTCATCTAAGCCACCACCTTATAAAGTATAA